TGCAAAGCATCTTGTTTTGGTTTACTGCTGAGTACTGCTGCTTTATCCTTTTTCTGTCATTCCACCATTACCTGTAAACATCTATGCTGAAACAACTAGGTATTATCAGTCACAGGTCCTTAGACAGAATGCATATTGGATCACTGAAATGGCACTTTAGCTGCTGTGTAGCCTCAGAAGTAAAACAAGAGTGTTCATAGTATTAAAATGTTTTTCTATTTTGACCAAAGAAAAATGAGTTTTTCTGTTTCATGAGAAAAATCTCAGGGATGATATTTCAGAACGCAGGTCTTATTCTGCTAACAGGTAATTCTATAAAACAGAGGACCTTTTAAAAAAACTCCTTTAAATAATACCAGTTGACTTTAATGCAGTTATTACTAAACTTATGTAAGAAAAAGTAAAAGTAAGCTGTTGTTTCTGTTCTGGAGATACTGAGTCATTCTTTGGATGTGTCTTCAACATTTTTCAGTGATGCATCCCACTACACAAATAACTTATTTCAATAACCTTGTAAATTATTTTTTAATGAGTGTAAGATTTTTGGGAGACAACAATTTTTACAGTTCAAAAATCGTAAGAAACACAAGCTACTCATGTCTAAACTTTGCAATATGTGGACAGCTTTACATCTTTTCTCAGAACAGCAAAAAAAAGTTAATGAGTTTCAAGTCCTGCTTGATCTAACATACTGGCATTGTTTTTCTGTGGCATCCGTTCCGATTCATTATTAATTTCCTTTGTTAGTCACATGAATGTAGATGCTCAATAAATGGCAAAGGCTTAATTTTCTTCCAAGAGTGACAAGCTGCTAGTTTATACTGTCTGCTTATGTTGAAGACCTGTAGTATGTCCTGAGTTGTTTAATCAGAGTGGATACTAGATATTTGACAGGCAGATCAGCTTCTGTTGCCTCCTGGATAGTCAATAACGTAAACGTAAAAAGCGTCAAGTGACACTGTTTGTAGCAGATATCTGAAGAACTGAGCACAAACACAGGGAGCCTGAAGTCTT